TCTCCTTCGAGAAAGGCCTCCCCTCCGGCTTCCCCAGAGGCTCCCCCTCCGGCCTCCCCACGGGTTTCGGCTTCCCCGGCGGCGGGCCGTAGCCGTGCTCGAGGGCCTGCACCCGCTGCTTGTTGAGCAGCGCCTGGCGCCGCATCTCGAGGTAGATATCCTTGGTCTCCTCCCGCGGCCGCGCGAGCTCCTCCTCCTCGCGGCGATTCTTCTCGTACATGGGCGCGCGCGGGAGGAGCTGGCGATCCCATCGCTCCTCAAGCTGCTGGAGCTTCGCCTCATGGGATTTCGCCCGCTGCTCCTGCAGGCGGCGCTGCGCCCGGACGCGCTCCGCGAGCTGCTGCTTCCGCTCCTGCAACGCCTGCTCCTGCACACACTGCAGCTCGCGCTGCTTTTCGATGAGCTGCCGCTTTCGCTCCTCGTTCTCGCGCAGCTGTTGTTGCTGGTGCAGTTCCCCTTGCCTGGAGATGTTTGACGGCTCATGCCCACGAACCTCCGCGGGCCGCTTCGCAACAATCTTGAAAGGGGCATTATTCTCGATCGCGGGCAAAACGGCGATCATCTGCTTCTGGGCGACATGCAACTTCTCCTGCAGGTTCATCAGCGCGCCGCGGAGAAAGGGCAGCTGAAGGATTTGACTAACGTTGGGCCGTCGAGACGGGTTCACATCGAGCATCGTCGAGATGAGATTGGACAATTCCGGGGAATACATCGCGCTAATCGGGGGGTAGACGCCTTTCAAAATTTTTTGCACCAGCGCCTTCATGTTAGTACCGTCAAAGGCGTGGTTGAGTGTAGTGATCTCGTACAACACACACCCCAACGCCCAGACATCGCTTTTGTTGTTGTAAGGTTTGTTCAGACAAAGCTCCGGAGAGAAGTAATACGGCGTGCCGCACACCGTTCGCTTCAATTCGCACGTATTCCGTAGCACGGTGCTAATGCCAAAGTCGCCGAGCTTGACGATACCATCGCGCGTCAGAAACACGTTCTGGGTTTTCAGGTCTCGGTGCAGAACGCGACTCTCGTGCAGGTAATTCAAGGCTAAACAGAGCTGGGAAAAGTAATGAAGCACCTCTTGCTCGGAGAACAGTCGACCACGACGCTCCTTGATTTTCATATACATATCCCCACCGTTCGCGTACTCCATGACTATGAAGAGCGATCCATGGTGCTCAAAATGATCCTCGTATTTGGTGATGTTGGGATGCTTCAACGTGCGGAGCATAATAATTTCGTGCTTGGCGCTTTCACTCTCCTGGGGTTTCAAACCAGCCAGGCGAACCTCCTTAGCGACTAACTGCTCGTTATCCGACTTACGCTGAATCAGCCATGCCGCGCCAAAGCTACCTTTTCCTAAAATCTTGAGCTGTCGATACTTCTCCATCACCCTCACCCTTCTCTTTTGTTTTCTTCTAACTACAACCCAATTTTTCCTTTTTCAACAGGCCAGACCGCGCGTGAGACGAAATCGTCTCCGAAGACAAAGCTCCCGATTGAGAGTTCAGAAAAAAAGGATTGGAACGCAGGCTGATGATATATAAAATATTGTGTGCTAAAACATAAAACAATGTGTACAGTAAGCAAACCTCCTCCTTATTACTATAGGTTACTGTACAGTGGTGAAACCAATGCAATTCTTTTGAATAATTAACGTGATGTGAGAACTTTTATGATGACAGTTAATGTTACCTTATGCCTCCTCATGCACTCTTCGCTGCTAAAAGGTGAAAAAATAAAGTGAAAAATACCTTTTGCCTCCGCGCGGCCTATCCGTCCTAAGGAAACGCATCAGTCATGAATGCGTAATAGCAATGGGGGTAAGAAAGAATTCCAGTAGTGGTGAACACCGCTCCGATTGAACAATCAACATCAAACCATTGTATTTCATCCCTTTCCATCGATGAGATCGCAATCCGCATTTTTGTTTGTCGTAAGAATATATTCGACTCATCGTAGCACACCCAATGAGGAATAAATATGATAATAAATCATGCTATACAACTCCGACATACACATCTAAAAGAGAAACATCTCCCAAGACTTTACAGAGTAACAATGTCAATGATAATTATCCAAGAAATATCTCATAATAACCACGCTCCTGTGGATTCAGATACATATGCGAGTAAACTCGATAATCCATACCAAAAACCTCTTCTACATCTTTTTGCGCCCCCATCAACTTTGACCATCCCTCATTGGTTTCCTTTTTCTCCTTCCGTGAGACTGCACATCATGGCCAATCTATCGATATCGATAGATATTTATTTCCTTGAATGTATTAAATAAGCATATGATATCCCCATTCGCGCGGGGGGTTTCTCCCGGAGGCGATCTCTTGTCTTCCACCTTGCGGATCGGAACCGGCCTTGGGGGATCCCTCGTCCCCTTCCTCTACGACAAGACGACCTCCGGGCCGACCACCATTCGAATCATCCCTTCAATCGCCCGATCGTTGGCAAGGATGGCCTGCTGGAGGCGATTGGTCTTGAGGATCTGATCCCCGATCGCGTCCTCGATGCTCTGCAGCTGGACCTGGACGGTTTGCACGCTCTCCTCGGTCTGCCGCTGCGCCTCGGCGGCGGCGAGGGCCTGGTTGCGGGCCTCACTCCGCCACGTCTCGAGCTCGCGGGTCATGCTGTCGATGTCGTTGTGAATCGCCTCGAGAAACTTCCCGAGCGGGTTCGACGCCTTCGTGAGGAGCTGGAGTTGCTCGCGGAGTTTGTGCATCTCGGCCTCCCCCATGACGGCGCCGGCGCCGGCGCCCGCGGCGCGCCCCCCCCGCGAGGCCCC